TTCCGAAAAAACATCAAGTCTGCATGTCACGCTTCCAAACAAGTAACCATTGTTTGGCTATTGAAAAAGGAAGGCACACACAGCCAAAAACTCCCATTGAAAAAAGAATTTGTAATTTGTGTTCCCAAAATAAAATAGAAGATGAAGTTCACTTCCTTTTAGAATGTGATCGGTACAAACATATTAGACATGAATTGCTCACAGAAATTACATTAACTAATGCAGGAGATAAATTGAGTAATTTTATATTTTTGATGAGCAACAAGGACTCCAAGGCAATTAAATGTATGGGGACCTATCTACTTAAAGCCATGGAATACAGAAAACTTTAACGTATCTATTTATATTGTATTGTAATTGTGTTGTGTACGGATATATTTATTGCTTTTTACCAAAAGAAATATTGTAAGGATGCAATAAAATTTGATTATTATTATTATTATTATTTTACGCTCATTTAAAAAGTCAAATGTCAATAAAAGCTATCTTTGGCATCCGATATTCTGTGATAACAAAGAAAACTACACCTCACTACTGGTTATCATACGCATTCTCATATATTAATTTGTATTCATTCGAAGTTCATAATGTTTTCATGATCGCGCGTCGTTCAGACGACAATCAAAAAGGTCAAGACTGAATGTGGTGAAGGCGACTCGTCTGGGAACAAAGTCTTACTCAACGGCGCCATCAAGTAGGAAATATTTGAGCTTTTTGATGTCTGGCTAAGACCGCCTTCCCAACGGAACTCGAGATAGACAGGCGGTTGGCGCAATGCAAATTGATTTGAGTGACGGTTCATGATGAAGACTGAGTAAACGTCACGTTTCAGGGAAATTACATAAAAACAGCATGAGCGCAAATTAACGACGTTAACATTGCAAATCAACATGATAGAATGGCAACTGTACCTGTGCATGTGCCCACTGACTTGAAAATGAGTGAAAATTATGATGAGCCCGATCACTTCCGGGAAAAAACGACGCAACCGTAGCAGAGGGTTTTTCCAGTAAGTCACGTGAAGAAAATTGTGGAGTTATTCACCGATAGAGGGCGCTATACAACCAGATCTGAAAATCCGCGTTCATACTATTTTCACGTCTTGTGCATAAAAATGAAACCTCAAAATCATGTTTTGGTGTATGTAATAGACACCTGAAAATAAATTGTTAAAACCAAAGGTTCGTTTTAATATTTGATTGCGGAGCTGATAAAGAGTGTCTGTAAAACAGCTGCAGAAGAGCGTCATCTCAACATTTGTCCTGTCCATAGTTCCTGCATAGACCTTAGAAAACAGAGACATGCAACTTCTGTCTGAGGCAAAGGAAAGTCCAGCTTCCTGTGTGCAATGTGGGTTATAATCTCCTGTATAGATAATCCCATTAATACATATACCTAGAAGATTTATACATCTGAAACAGTTTTAGTTGTTACTTTTCTACGCAGTTTTTATATGTTTGATAAGTTGTGCCAGTATTCACATTTGTCAGTGTATAACGAGTGCACTATGCTATATCTGCTCTAAATATGATGAAAAATCCACTTGTTATAATGACACAAATTTTGACAGCTCATTGTTTACGTTTAGGCAGTTTTGTTTTCTTGTAGAGAAAACTGACCCTTTTTGTTTCCCGTTCCTGTTTTCATAGTGGAATAAAAACTGTTAACTTTACATTTTTTAGTTTCACTCGTATCAATAGAATGGACTTGGCTATTCAATTTTAATCAAATGTAATTTTTCTGATTATATTCTAACCACAAAGTTGGCTCATGTTGTGTGGCGTGGTTTCAGCATTGCCTTCAGTGTAGAAGCCAGCTGATTTGTCAAAATTTGATATTGAAGGTCAAGATCAAAGAATTGGTATCAGACTCATATTTAAAACATTGTCAGTGGCGGCGGCGGCGCCGTGGAGTCAGTGAGGGCGGTAGCCCCCACGAAAAATAAGGTCTATATATACACCCATCTCAAGAAAACGTAAGAGAAATATACCTAAGTGTACCATCAAAATTTGATTCCCAAAATGCAAGAAACAGCGTTTCAGAGGGTGTAGATTTCAAAATGTTCACGGGGGAGCATTTGTTGGCATTCACATAAAATCTTCGCCCACAGTAAAAAAAAAAAAAAAGCTGCCGCCGCCTCTGATTGTGCAACCAAGGTGATTAGTCGTAGTATAATTGACAAGTATTTCATATCCCCTCGATTAGAGACTACTTTTGCAGTAATGTTAGAAAAACCCATTGCAATGTGGGAAGAAATTTATAGACTACCATTTAAATTAACAATTGACACAAAACTACGCGAGTTACAGTGGAAAGTGAATCACAATATCTTGATGACAAATGTCAGGCTTCACAAAATAATACCACATGTTGTTCAGTCTAGCAAATGTACATTTTGCAACTTAGGGGATGGAACATTATCACACCTCCTAGTCAGATGTCCTTTAGTTGAAAAGATTTGGGTCAAATTCTCAAATCGTTGGGGAAATCTCATTGGATTAAAACGACAGCTTAATGCTGAATAAATAATACTTGGAGACCCTTCAATGCCAAGGGTTTTAAATTTTCTGATTTTGGTAATAAAGAGATTTATTTACATATCCAGGTGTAAACAAAAAAATCCAACTTTTATAAACTTGAAATCATTTGTGCAAAACATGTGGAATATGTAATTGCAAACAAAAGATCAAAACTGGGTACTCGTATGAAAAAATAAATAAATGCATTCAGTTGACAATATTATATACAATGTATATTTGTTGGTTTCTCAGACACACGTAATTCTATTTATTCAAAGCACTGTAAGATAGTATCTTGTATACTTTGGACTTTTTAATTTGAGTGACGGTTCATGATGGAGACTAAAATTAAATTTAAAAAAAAGATTGTATCAAAAATAAGTTGAATTAGTCAGTTGCCATCTGTAAAATTTTGGAATCTATCATCAGAGATGCAATTCTTAATCATATGAATTTGAACCAGAACAACTTATTTTCTCCACATCAACATGGGTTTCTTAGTGGTAGGTCATGTATGACACAACTATTGGAGGTCGTTAAAAACTGGACGTGTGTTATTAATGAAGGTGGCACAGTTGATGTCATGTATTTGGACTTTCTAAAGGCATTTGATTCTGTCATCTGATTCTGTCTTCGAGCTTATGGTATTTTGGGGGATATTTGCAATTGGATAGAATCATTTTTAACTAATAGAAAACAACAGGTTGTTATTAATGGACAGTATTCTAATCTCGTACAAGTGACCAATGGCGTTCCACAGGGGAGTGTGTTGGGACCGGTTCTATTTATTGTTTACATTAATGACTGACGTTGTTCTAAGAAGTCTCAAACTATTTGCTGACGACGCTAAACTATATGCTAATACTAATTGTTCTACACAACTTCAACTTGATATTATGAAAGTCCAAGACTGGGCTGATACTTGGCAAATGAGAATTAATCCAAGTAAATGTACAGTCTTTCAAATTGGCATATGTAATCCTGGTCATCTTTATATAACATGAGAGACAACAATACCACTATTACTTTGGAGGTTAGAAACTGTGAAAGACCAGGGTGTACTTGTGGATAATAATGTATATGTTAACCAACATATTGACTATATAGCGCACAAAGCAAATAATATTTTGGGTGTTATACGTCGTTACTTTAGTTAATTGGACGATGAGTGACTTGTCTTGCTATATAAGGCTTTAATTAGGCCTCATCTTGAATATAATAATCACGTATGGGCACCATACAAACTCCGTCATATTGATACCCTTGAAGCAGTCCAACGTACAACCACTAAACTTGTTCCAGATATCAAATCTTCGTCATATGACACCAGGCTTAAGTTTCTTAAATTGCCTACTTTAGTGTATAGACGGTTACGTGGAGACATGATACAAACTTATAATTATCTTAATCACAAATATACAACCCACCAAGATTTATTTACATTACCTGCACAATCTATAACTAGAGGCCATTACTTTAAATTAGAAACAATTGGGTCACGTCTGGATGTCAGAAAATACCTTTTCAGTAATAGAGTTGTAAATATTTGGAACACTTTACCCAATAATGTTGTTTCAGGCCCAACAGTGGACTCTTTCAAAGCAAGATTGGATAGACACTGGATTCATTTACAATTGAAATACAATTATCATGCTGATTACTTTTCCTTCATGTAATGCACAGTCTCAGACAGTAATAGTAACAATCTACTAAGAAACGAATGGCCCTCAGACGTTGTATTATATAAGTATAATTCTAAATACAATACAATGATACATATAAGAATAGAATAAAGACTGGACATCTATGGGAGCTAGGCAGATTTAAATTAATTACTATAACTGTTGACAATTCTCTTCTAATAGATGTTGCACATGTGAATGATAGACAAATGGCACAACAACTTAATTGCAGTGGAATCACAAGTAACAGCCCCTATTCTTTTAGTTGTATAAAAGAGTTAGAGTTATAACCAGAACACTCTGACGTGTTACGTGTCTGGGTTTGTGACTGGACTCACCTTCTACCGAAACTTATTCCTGTAGAAGAGTCTTATTGAACAAAATTGTTCTATTATCATTCAGCTCTATATTAAAGATTGGTCGACATTTTAACACATTATAGCACCAAAAGTAAGCTTTCTCGAGTACTGTTTTAATAAAATGTGCAAGTATTCCAGTTTTGGGGTTTTCCCATGATGAATATTTCCCCTTTGTGTGAAATATGTTTTCCCCAAGATTTAGGCGTACATAATTTGTTTACTATCATTGACCCCCATGCAGGATATGTTTTTCCATGATTTGTTCCTATTTCTTTTCCACAAATTCTGCCATAAGCCCCGCCCCGTGTTTTTAATAATCTACTCCTTATACAGCGCCACCAAGAGGCCAGAAATAAGAACATTGACCCACTGTTAACCCCCCGGTAAACATTCGTTTCCGTGTCCGGTTGTATGTGTTTTGCTTCCCGGTTTGGTTGTGGCATGGTTTTGTTTGAACTTTCGATTATTATCGGTTGAAGGTAAGTATTTATTGACCACGATGTGTCAAAAATTATAATTGTTGTAGATCAATGATATAATTTGCTTATTTAGACGAAATTTTATCTAACCGGCCGCGCGGTTGGAGTGAATGATGGAATCACGCGGTGCCCGTATGGACTTGTGTTTGCGTGTTTTCTTTCGTAGTGTACACGTTTGTATTCTTATTAAACTGTTTATAAACAGAACACTTTTATCTGTTATTTATTTATAGAGTGTTGGTAATACAGCTTTTATGCTTGTCCAGAGCAATGTGCAAATAATATGTGGATATATTCGTAGACTGTCTTGGATGCACACTGTCTGGTTTACGCCGTGCACAGATGATAAGTGTCGGTGTATAGGTGTGAATACACCCATTTTGTACACGCTACATGGTTGTACAGTCTTACTTGGATGTCAATGAATGATAATACTTTGTACTAGTAGTAGATCGCTATTATTGTTTTGATGACTTCTGTTACGACATCAGTGATAGTAAAATTGAATAATGTGAGAGTAATTGAGTTTATATTATTATTATTGCATTCACAGCGTCAACAAGGATAACCCCATACAGGTGAAAACCCTACAGGATTATCACATGTACTGCTTACTTACTCTTCGCATGTCAGTTTATATAATTTTTTGTGTTCTTTTAAGCTTGCTTAACAAAAAAACAGGTGTGAATCTAGGCCTGTGTACAATGACATAGAAAGAGGTAACACCGACTTAACTTATGCTGGTATAAAAACTTATGTGAATCTCAGACCACTACTAAACAGACTGGCAATGCTGGTATTTCTTTTGATCTAACGTGTGTCTCGGGTTTACCTTTGCGATAACATTACGGTTTTAAGCTCATCATCAACAAATGGCGGAGATCAGGAAATGCCCACTAAGTCATGCGTTAACGCACGGTTTCGCGATAAACTGTGATGTTTCAACAGGAAGTGAAGTGACATTTCAGACCAAATTTAATAATTTTTTTAACGTTATTTATTCTCGTAGTCCACAGACATTCATAAAACAGGTCCGGGTAAAAATAAAACAGAAAGTATAAAATTCAGTTGCAGGTCAAACTAAATAGCAGTGGAAATAAATCAGGTGGAAGTAAGTAATGAGCGTTCTCTCAACGTGACGTTGCTACACACGTGTACAAAATCAAAACATCGGGTCAGTACTATTTCAAGGCCGTTATATTAATTTTGTCTTGATTTAGTTGACTGGTACAGTTTTTGCCCCAATGTACTGTACTTCCTCGAGTTTAAGCACAGCGGCCTGAACATGTAATAATAATAACAATCTTTATTGATATCGTATCCCCTCTTGGATCTAGATTAGAATACAATAAGGATATAAGAAACAATAAAATACATGTAAAATAGGGAAAATTAGGGGGTGGGCTTATACTCGAGGACCACCTCAGAAAAAATAATTTGGGGGGTGGGTAAAATTTTAACAATCCTCCCAACCAGGACAAATTATACAAATTACATTTTTCGTTCACAGCGCCGGTCTCAGGTTAATATTACGTCTTTTTGATTTCCACGACACTTTTTACAATGAAGAAACAAACATATTCATAAAAATACACACACTTTATTACAATACGATTTACATCCCGTCTGAATTGTCGGTGCAAAAATGAGTAAGGTCTGTGGAAAAACAGTCAAAAGCAAGATCTTTATCATTATCTTCGTTGTGAAATGTTTTCGATCATACGCAAACTCACAATACAAAGCGGTAACGTGGTCTGTGACGTAAAGGAAGACAATCTTGGGGTCATGGGGCTTCCCCTGACCTAGATTCTATCAGAATAACTGATTCATGCCTACAGTTCAAAATAGTCATTTTGACTGACCGGAGTCTATGGTGGGTATGAACTATGTGAATAGGCGGGTTCAGAGAACCCTAATTTCTGTATATTGAATATGTTGGCAACGGAAGGGACAAGTTTAAATCATATTTGTATTAACACAACTTGAAATATATGTTTATCAATTATCAAACTAAACATTCAATGAAGCAGACTGCGACGGTTAAGATGAAAAGACAAGGCTAAGACGGAAAACATGTGACAGTATGATTATGCTCGTCTATTTATTTCCAACGCGCGTGGAAATGTATCACTGGCTGAACGTCCAAGCTGACCTAACCTTGTTTTGGCTGTACTATAAACAAAACTATATTTATTTAAATTCGATAATGAACGTGAACTGTGTCGTGCATGGCTTATTACACTTATCTGAGGTTTACTAATCATTACATTTGTTTATTCTAGATATCAAGATGCAGACTATGTATGATTCACTAGAAGACTACGAAAGAGACATTTATGGTCTTGGTAGTGACAGTGATTCAGGGGATGATGCAGAGAAGAAAAACATTGAATGCCAATTGTATCAGCAAATGCACTATGCACAGACCTCGGATGAGGTTGATAATGATTATACAATCACACCGAGTGATGCTGTCAAGTTATCAGCTGCTGATTCTGATAGTGTTGTATTTTTGAAATCTACCCATGTTCCTAAAAAAAGAAAATCTGAAGTTATTTTCATATCAAGTGATTCTGATGTCCAACCTTCCAAAAAAAGAAAAGAAGAACATTTTGCATCACTTGCACCTATATCTGAGACAAGTCTGGAACAGTCAGATTGTAAAATAAAATTAGATCACTTGCAAATGAAAAAGAATAAGAAATCCAATAAATTTGCTAAGAAATCTAAATTTAGAAAAGGAAAAGAATCATCCAGTACACCTACAATCCGTATTTCTAGCGATGAAGAAAGTGTTGCGGAATGGACAGTCATTGATGACATCACTGATCCACAACCTGATTTGATGATGAATGTGACTAACATGTGGAGTTCACAACAAACATCAAAAACATCTAAAGATTGGAAAATTGAATTAGAAGACAAGATGGTAAGTTCACATTTACTCATATAATATAAGAATTATCAGAATACTTCAAATGTATTTGCTAGAGTGACTAACGACACTGCATCTACATTGTACATGTGATTGCTGTGTCTGACATCTAAGTGCAAACAATTAACTTGTCACCAGTCAAATCTAGCATTGGTAGTGATTTCCACTTTTCTATTCTTGCTACGTTTCTTTAGAGGAGGAGGGTTGTAATCAGGCTGACCAATGCTTCAACCACATCTCATATTTACATCATACCAGTTGTCGTAATGAGCTTTGTAATCTTTCTTCACCAGAATAACATCCAGAATAGTGAAAAAAAATCAAAGAGCCATCATAAACGATACTACGCTTCAAAGTCTTCAATAAGATGTCACAAATGTGGAGAGTGTGGACATCTTTCAAAATACTGCACTCAGCCAAGGGTTAGTAAAGTTACAGAAAGCATTAAAGACATCATGAACAGACTTCACTTTCTAATGAGAGTGATCACTCCACTCACTCAGCAAAGGGTAAATAAGAATTACAGAGATCATTAAAGACATCACATACAGACTTCACTTTCTAAGGAG